ATCTAAAACTTAACTTTGACATGTTATTTAGCACTCTTTGAATAGTATAGGTATTTAGAACTAATCCATAATCTTTCTTGTTTAAGAGACCAGCCATTATAGGCTCTGCCAATGGATATAAGGAAAGACATCATTGATGTTTGATAAGCTCATGATCCTTTTATTTCTACAAGATGTCAACCTACTCTCCTAACTAATAAACAGATAAATAAACTTAGTTCTAAATGATTTATTACTGAATTATTCTGGTGTTTTAAGATCACTAGATGTGTGATCCTCAGCAATTTAACTATGATGTATCGATATGTGAATTTTTATTTCTCTTGTAAATGCATTGAGTTCTCTGAATGAAAATTAGTGTGTGGATACTAGTGTTCTTCAACTCTGAAAAGTTTTGCAGACGTTATTGCTTTGAATATTGCCACAATCTGTCTCCTTTCTCTTCTCATAATTACATTTACACATATATTCCGTCTTCTCATCCTTTCTAACATGTCTTTTAACCTCTTTTTTCATAGTTGCTTTTTTCTCTCTGTGTTTTGCCTCTAGTGTTATGTGTGTTTTCAGATTATTGGTTCGAACCTACAAGGTCATCTATGGGAGAAAGATGGCACGGTCTGCCCCGTAAAGATTTCCAGTGTCAAAACCCTATGTAGGGTGACTAAGAGTCAGAATTGACACAATAGCAGTGGGTTTTAGTATGCTGCCTTTCTGAATGTGGGAGCCCTATTTACTTTTCATATTGAGTTAATATCATTCGTAGAGTTGGATTGTAGAACAAACATCTGACTAAAGATTGAATTTCTGCTGTAGCAAATTTACTCAACTTCTGTGAAATGTTGGCTAAGCCAAATTCTTCTTATGAAATAAGTTTGGTTCTGAAATTCTTACTTGGTGTGGACAGAATAGCAATATTATTCACTATTTTCACAGATACTTTATGTTTTTCTGAAAGTTTCACTCTTCCTTTGTTCTCTTTTGAAAAACAGGAAAATTTCCTAAAATTAAAAAGAGAGGTTACAAAAATTGATGGCAGCTTATATCAGGTTTCTAAACATTTTAGTTAAAAATTAATGTGGCCTTTCATGTGAAAAGTAAGTTAAAAGCTATATGCAGGTGCATTTAGGCGCCTACTTTTTACACTGATTTGCAGTCCATGCAGTCCCTGGGTTATGCACAAGATCATTCTTAAGTGTGCCTGTAACTTGTATTTGTAGTAAATTGGACTGGATGCATGGGGTTCTTAGTTAGCCTTCAATGTTTTTTTGTGTGTGTGATTTTTGCCCGTTTTTAGTGCAAGAAAGACTAGAAAGTTTTCCCATGATTTACAAGATACACGTGCAGCAAGTGAAGGTGAACTGCAGTGAAATTCACATAACATGTAAGAACAAGTTGGAGTTGTCCCGAAGCTGGATGTCTGTAACCGGGATTTATTATACTGATCAAGACTAAGGGTGTAGTCTTTCTGTTCCTAAATGTTGGTGTGGCAAATTTTAAAGGGCGTATAGAACATGCTCTCAGACTTTAGATTTTGTCTTCTGGTAAATGCCATCTAGGATCACTTAGACTAATGCCGTGACCAGTTCCTCTTGTTGTGGTGACCCCCCCAACCATAAAATTATGTCTGTTGCTACTTCATAATTGTAATGTTGCTACTGTTATGAATCAGGCGACCCTGTGAAAGGGTTGTTTGACCCTGGGGGGTCGCAACCCACAGGTTGAGAACTGCTGACTTAGATCAAAACAACGTAAGTATTGTTAGCCTCCCTCACTGAATTTGTAAGTATCTAAATTTCTTTTGTGGCTTATTTATTCATTACCTCTTCACCTAGACTATATATAATGAAAGAAGGAAGAAATTATACCTCAAGAGTTTAGGGGCCAGAATTAGAATATGGGATTTGTGACTTTTAATTGTTAAAAAGTGTATTACATTTCTTACTTTCATAGCATATGGTGTTTAGTCTAAATCATGCTTTAAACATGAGAAGTTATCAGAAAGTTTTTAATATGTATTCATTAATATGTGAGAAAAAATGGGAAGCTTACCTTTAGTCTCTTTCATTGGGTTGAGGTTGCCGTTTTTCAGTAATTGACTTTGTGATTAGAAAGGATAAGAGTTTGTTAGTAATGGAACTTGAAATAATAATTGATAATCACAGTAGGAGGTAATGTACCTAAAAGTCAAGCACCGTGTTTAGTGTGGCAAATAATGCCCATGGAATCGTGTTTCTCTCTTTTAATAACTGTACTGTTACTTCAGGATGAGGAAATCAAACCTTAGCTTGCTTCACAAGGTCATGCTGTTAGTAATAGCTAGGACAGAGTTTTGATCAATAGGACAGGGGGAAATAAATTTTGTTGCGTATTTTCAGGACATAGTTATCTATTATCAAAATTCATAGATATTTATCTATTATCAAAACATAGTATGAAATTTTATTAAATTGCAAATCTGCTTCTCTATTCCAGTTGATGATGCCATAAGCTTTTAAAAAAAAGTGCCATACATCTATAGCTGTAATGCTGTTTAATGCAGCTATTTTATGATTTCATCAACAACCAAACTGTTGTTTCATTACAAACAGAGTCAGTCTCTTCATGATTAAAGCAGCAGACTGAAAGCCATGAAGGGTATACTGGTCAGTTTGCAATCATTTCCATGTGTTTTGAATTCTTATCAGATGTTTGAAAAGGGCAGGCATAAGCGAACTCCAAGTGCTATCTTTGTGGTTAAAGAAACAGTGGTCTGTGTGGGCAGGCATTTAGTAGACAGCTTGCTTAATAAGGTTCCTAGGCAAAATCATTTACTGCCCGATGTAAGAAACTTACACATACTTTACTTTATGTGTTTAGGTTGAAGTTCTCTTCAAAAGTTTGTCAAATACTCACATTTTGATCAACCATATAGGTTTTTTTGAAGGTGAATATTAGAGGTCAGTGCTTGACAAGTTCACCACCCTTATTTATAATAAGATAATATTTCTCATGCCATAAGCAAAAATACCAGAAAAAGAAAATTTTCTCAAGGCACATTCCTGGAAACTGGAGAAAATGAGAAAAGCATCTGGTAACAAATAAAAATTGACGGGAAATTATGCAAGATGCTCGACATTGCCATTTGAAATCCCCAGTCTCCAGTTCAAAGTGGCATGATTAACAACAAAAACAAAAAACCCTGAATTTTATTTTCTAAACTACTTGTATAAAGTAATGCAAAGAGGCATATAAAATTTAGACATCCTATAGTTATAAAAACTTTCTTCCTTCATAGTTACTTAGGGTGCCTGGTAGCACAGTCTAGCCCAAAGACAAGCAGCAGTTTGAACCATGCACCACTCTGAGGACCAGAGATGTGGCAGTTGACATCTGTAACATAATGTGTTGCCGCCTTGGACACCCTGCAGGGCAGTTCTACCCTGACTTATAGGGTCAATACACATCAGAATCATTCATGATAGCCTCTGTCGTAGAAAAACATGTTCTGCCTAAAATCAGAGCATACAAATCCAAAAGTACTTTTTTTTAGCAGAATGCACAAGTATTTGCATATTTAATTAGTATGTCTGTATCTTGTTAAAATTCCATTATTGACCTTAGGTGATAATGTAAAAATCTCTTAATCTCTCTCTCTATTTCAACTTGTTTGCCTCTAAAACAAAGATGACAATATTCAGCAATTCACCGCTTAGACATGAGAACAGAGATAAAAGTAATTTTAACATATTTAAAGCCCTAAACCCAAAAGAATCTAAATAAAATTATCTGTAGCTTTTTATAACTCTCACATTTACAATATAATTTGATTGTGTATTTTAGTAATATTAACTTACTTGTTCCCCAAACGACTCTTGGATAATGATGGCATTGAGACAAGTGGGGATTAATCACTTTTGGAAGCAAATATCAGCCCTTTTATCTTGTAGATGCTATACCACAGATAAGAGATGTGACTGATTTAACGAAACTAGGCTCCCATCCCTCCTTACTCATCTTGATTTCTGTGCCAGTGTACAGTATGGTTCTGTACAAATATGAGAAGTTCCAGACATTATTCAGTAATTGCTAGTTTCTTTGCCATCACTAAATATATAAAGACTACTGTAATTCCTAGGCTATTATTTTATTGACTGGTTTTAAAAGGGAGGAAGGAGAATTTCCATTGGGACAGAGAATATTACAAACTTAGCAGAATATACATGTATGTATGTATATAAAATACAGAGCTGTCTGGTAGATAATCATGTTATATAAACCATAGTTTAAATTCAGATGAAATAATATTAGAGACCTGTCCACCAAAGAAAAAGAAGTAATTAGCATTGGCTTAATGACAACGTTTCATATTCAAGACATTTCTTTTACCATTCAAGCAAAAACTGGACTTTAGGTGGCCCGAAAGATGCTGCCTGGACTCTTAAGCAAGTGTGTAGTTTGGCAAGATAAGCACTACAACCGCCATGCTTTCATTCTTATTTTTAACAGATTTAAATATATTTGCTGGACTATGTTCCACAGCATGTAAGATTGGGAACTGTAAAATGAGGTTATGATGCAAGAATCTTGCATTTTCTTCCAAGAATTATGGATTCCACAAGTAACAAATGTGTTGTTTACCAAAATCCTAAAGTTTTGACATTTTATAAATCCTTATTTGCTTTAGATATTTAATCCCCCCCACCCCACCCCCCGCAAAAAAAATCATTGCTGCCCAGTTGATTCTGAATTATCACTCCATAGGACAGAATAGAATTGCTCCAAAGGGTTTCCAAAGTTGTAAATCTTTACAGAAGCATAACTGCCTCACTGTTCTCTCTCTGAGTAACTGGTGTATTTGAACCACTGACCTTTTAGTTGACTTCCAACATTTAGTGTACCTGAATATATAAGGATATATATTTACTTTGACATTTAGTGTACCAGAAAATCAACAATTCTGTTTATGTTAAACAATATTCTCAGTATGTTACATACTTATGTAACTGTTTTTGCTTTTTTAGTGAAGAGCTCCGTAAAGAAGCAAGACAAATAAAGAGGGAACTCTTAGCAGCAAAACAAAAAAAAGTTGAAAATGCAGCAAAACAAGCAGAAAAAAGAAGCGAAGGTAAGGCATTTATGAGTTTATATTTTCTCTTGTCACCTCTGATTCTCATCTCCCTTCCCAAGTTGAATTTTTGTTGTGGATTTCTCTAATCTTTTATTTGGATATTTACCAATAAAATAAATGCCCACTTCTATGAAGTAAATTCAATTGAATAATGATCATAGTTATTGTTCCTAAATAAATTCAGAGAGCTAACAGTATTTGACCCAAGGCTAAACTTCAGTGTTGCCACGGCACATACAACGATAAAAGTGTGTTGACATGGGATGTTTGTACATTGTTGTATCTTCTTTAAAACATGTAAGAAAAATTTGGGGCCCTGTGCTTAAGACTCATGAAAACATTTTGTATTGGTGTGAATAGTGCTAAATATCTTATTTTGACTTTTTTTTTCCATTTGTTCCTTTGTGTTTGTTTTCACTATTAGGACACAAAACATACAAATTTTTTTTAATAAAGCTGGTTATAAATGGATCATAATGATGCAGTTTTATGTAGGTAGATGTCTCCACTTTTCCCCGTCCTTTAGTAAATAGAGCCATAAGTGGTGATTAGACACATATACCTTCTCTGGAATTTTTGAGTTTTGTGATAGAATTTTTCCCTTACCAATCTAGGAAGAGTACCTTAGAAGATGTTGGTAAATTTATTCTTATAATTTTAAACAATTAAATTAGAACATCTTTAAAAAGTTGTTACTCTAAAAATTCTTAATTCTGTGTAAAAGTATTTTAGCTGTTAAAATGTAATGTTCAGTTTTCACAATTTCACCTTACACCTCTTGAATGTCCTCTGTTTTTACCATAATAAATTGCATTGTCAATTCAGTGACTGATAGAAAATGTCTTCTAAAACTGTATAATGAATTTGACTTCACAAATTCACTTTCTACAGATGTCTTCTATATTCTCCTGGTTTTGGAACCGTGAAGTGATTTTTTTCTACCTACTGTTGTTAACTCACTGGAGATATACTACAGCAAAAAGTGAAATGTAGCATTTGCTGTTAAGGAATTCATATTCTTAGCACTTAGTGATAGCATTAATATGTACAAATAAAGAACAAAACTCACGCCATCAAGTCAATTCTGACTCAATTCTAACCAATGGTTAGAGACTAGAACTGCTCCATAGTATTTTCAGGACTGTAGTCTTTACAGATCATCGACCTTCCTGCTTTGGACTGCAGAGTGGATGTTTACTTATTTTAAGTACCCTGTTTCCCCGAAAACAAGACAGTGTCTTATATTAATTTTTGCTCCCAAAGATGCGCTAGGTCTTATTTTCAAGGGATATCTTATTTTCCATGAAGAAGAACATGGTACACATTTATTGTTTATTGTTTTATTAAAAGAGACCTCGTACTTCCTGTCTGTTCTGGCTGTGCTGCGACCAACAGTGAGCTTCGCAGCGGCACCC